CACTGTGTGATTTAAAAATATACACATAATAAAAAGAACACTTACCATGTAACTTTTTCTGCCATGGTGATCATTTCAGCTTCAGCACTCTAAATCTGCCCCTGACAAGCCATGTCTTTTGCTTTCCAATGCAAGACATTTTAAGTACAAAACTCCAGCATGGAGGGTCCTGGCTTGCCCATTGCCTCTGTTTGCTTGCCTTCTCTTCCTAAACACCTGTTGGCTTCTCGAAGCTTCAGCTGACATGTTCTAATGTGTACAAGGTAGGAATTCAACCAAACTGATTATGTCACCATCACCTCACGTAGAAACTCACGTAAATTAAGCCCCCATCTCAGGCCAGTGTTTGCAGCTCCCTAATTTGGAATTGTCCTAGCAGTTGCTGGACTCGGGTTTTGGGTGGATCCCTTTCTTTTATCAGCATTCCTCCCTCGGATCTTCGTTTTTTTTCCTCCTCTCCTTTTTACTTCCCGACAGAAGTTGTTTGGGACATTCACACCCCCATATGGAGGTGTTGTTTGGCTCTTCTGTCTGTCATATTGGTGTGACCTCTAGGATCCTCTGGATCCAGATTCTAGAGTAGCCCAGTGGCCTTTGCATGTCTTCGGGGGCAGATACCCATGTCTGTCTGTGGTAGCCCAGGTATTCAGTCACTGTTTTAACCCTAGAGGTCAGTGCACAGAGCAAGCTTGCCCCTCCCACCACTATCCACAGGAGGTGACTAGGCGGCTTCTGGACTACCAGGCCCTGCCTCAAGTAGATGAAGAGTCTGAACGGGAGAGGAAACTATGTGGCCTTGACACTCTCAGTCCTTAGCTGTCACCCTCCCAGCCTTGGCCTTGAGCTCAGATGAAGGTGACACCGTGCTTCTTCCTGCAGTAAGAACACTGGGTTAGTTTCCTGGGACCCTGTGGTAGCAGACGTGCAAAGGGCAGCACTGGGAAAACAAACGTGGAGCAAAGCTTTGTCTTGAAAGACTCTGTGGCCCACAGGTGTCCTCTGACTGCTGGGCTGGGGCACATGCGTGGTTCCCACCCGGGATGTGGCACCTGTACAGCAGGTTGGGAGCTGGGAGGAGAGGCACACCTGGGTGCCACTGAGCAGCCTAGCTGAGCCGGATGAGAGGCTAGTGAGGTTGTGCAGAAGCTATACACGGGGAGGTGGAGCGGGGAGATGATGCTGGCAACCTCCAGCGGCCCATTGGAGAGATGAGCTCCCCCAAAGAGCCTGGCAGGCTCCATGCACCAACTTCAGATGCTCAGGGGCAGTGAGCTGGGAACTGTGGACCTGGTGTAAACAGGAACAGAGAACGTGAGCCCACTGTGGCCTCGGGTGTGGGATCTGGTAGGAGCTGGTCTCTGCTTTGACCTGTGTGCCAACAAGCGTTTTCATGCTTCCTGTCAGTAGGAGGCGGAGCCTTTTCTCATGGGAACAGTGATTCAAAACAGGAGAGCTGGTGGCTTCTCCCTGCATGACGCCTACATGCCCACATACCAAGCTCTGTGGAAGGTCTGACTCGCCCATTATCAGGGGAAGCTGCCCATCATTCCCACGCAACCTCTGCCCCTATCCCTCCTCCCACAGCATGGAGGCTACATTAGCCTGCTCCCTTCAGACCCTACAGCAGGATACCATACTGCTTTGTGACCCAAGGTCCTCCAGACCCCAGAATCAACACACACACACACACACACACACACACACACACACACACACACACACACACTTGCTCACACATATTCACACATATTCATGCTGATACACACACACAAAACCACTTTTTTGTCTTTGTTTTCTTGGTTTTTTGAGATAGGGTCTCTCTGTGTAGCTTTGGCTATCCTGGACTCACTTTGTAGACCAAGCTGGCCTTGAACTCACAGAGCTCCGCCTGCCTCAACCCCCAGAGTGCTGGGATTACAGGTGTGCACCATCACGCCCAGCTAAAACCACTTTCTTGGGAGCTTGATGTGAGGCCTCTGGGGAAAAGAGGGCACACTCCAGATCTCTCCACTGTTGGATCTAATTGTCTGATATTTAGCTGCAAAGCTACCATTAGCTTAGCATAGCCATCAAGGTGATCAGAGACCTGAGAAGGATAAATTATAAGCTAAATAAATATACCAATCCATGTGCCAATCAAAATGACAGGGAGATCTAAAGCATGGGTAAACATGCTTTAGCCAGCAACATGGCCCAACTACAGGCTACTCACATCCAGGCTGCACATGTTTTGTTCTGTAATGTGTTTCTTTGAGTTGTTCCTTTAGTGGTTGTGTCATATAGTACACACGTGGAGGTCAGAGGACAGCTTGCAGGAGTACATTAACTTCTTCAATCATGAAAGTCCTGAGGCTCTAACTCAGGTCTTCATACTTGGCAGGAAGTAGTTTCAGCTAATGTTTCATCTCTCTAGGGCTCAATCTGTTTTATTTTTAAGATTTTATTATTTTTAGTTTTGTGTGTATGTATGCGTGTGTGCACATGTGTGCCAATGCCTGTAAAGACTACAGGTGTCTGCTCCTCGTGGATCTGCAGTTACAGACAGTTGTGAGTGTCTGACCTGGGTGCTGGGAATCAACCCCGGGTCGTCTGGAAGAGCAGCCAATGCTCCTGACCACTGAGCCACCTCTCCAGGCCCTGTGCTGTGTCTTAGCATGTTTGTCTGTCATGTAGAGTTAACAAGGCCTGGTGTTTCTCTATGACATGAGATTGTACTTCATAGGTGCAGCTTCAGAGCAGATCCAGAGAAGGAGGCAGGCCCTGCTGGGGTGGAGGCTAAGCCACGGGAGTATCCCGAGGCCTTAAAGGTCTTCAGTAAGACACAGGACCAAAACTGAGCAGATGATCAGGGGCCAGATAGTTCCAGAGGTTTTACTTATGGTGGATCAGAAGTATTGTTTTCACTTGAATTCATTCTTTATGTACGGTCCACTGCTTTCTGGCTTGAATTCAAGTGTTGTGTGTAGGGGGCAAACAGCACCCTTCTGGGGAGACAGTTCTGGAAATGAATAAAGTATAGTATATCAGGTTGATGTTTTGACAAGTTGGTGTTGGTGTTGGGAGCTTCCTGGTAACTCTTGGAAGCATAAGACTAATGTCTTAGGAACCCCAAAATGCTGACGCTGTGTTCAGGACTGGGCAAAGATACAGTCCCTGATTTAATTATGTAGACATTAATCAATGGCATTTCTAATAGCAACGGACTAGTAATCAAAGTCCAGCCATAAAGTAATATTTGCATAATAAAATGTAATGTTTCGATTAAACAACTTCCTTATGAATGTACTAAGATGCTCATTGATCTTTCTTTTAACAAGTTAGGATATCAGATTATATGTTTTGTGAAGACATTCCCCTTGCATATCCACAATGTCTCTGGATCGGTGGTGTGTGATCTCAGATTTTAAAGTGTGTAGGTAACTTCAAATAACTTCATTTGTACAAATCAAGGTTCTCAGGGGCCTGCCTAGACAGCTGTTTTCTGGCTTGCAGTGAATGGAACTCTTATAAGGATGGAGTTGAGTTGAAAGTGTGTTTGAAGTATGAAATTGTGGGTCAGTCCTGAGTGCACATCCTTAGCAGGCAATCACAGCCACCGGGTCTGACATCAGAGACCCTGTAAGCAGCGGAATCGCTGTGACGCCCTGCAGTTCAGACCCCAGGAGGGCAGCCGTGGACAGGTGGTGGTCAGCCAGGTTCTCTCCTCCAGCCTCGTTCCCATCTCATCTAAGGTGCAGTCCTGTGGGGTTGGAGAGCTGTCTGATTTATCTTTTTTTTTTTTTTAATCAGAGTTGACAGTCTTAAATGTGTAAATCATCCTTTTTTTTTTTCTGCCCCTGTTCATCATTCTTTGTCTGTCTCTCTATCTGCCTGCCTGCCTATACGCCTGTCTGTGTCACTCTTTTTAAATTTTCCTAGGGTTTGAAACTAGTTTTCATTGTGAAGTTTGTTTTCGTTTGTATTTCTGCTCACAGCAAAGCACAGTCTTTCTGTGCAGATGTAAGAAACACTATAAAGAGTTACAGTTGTGGGCTGTCTTGCAGTGCCTCCTCCCCAACACCTGGGTACCCATTCTTCCTCTGGCTCTGAGGACTGTGGCCCCACAGGCCTGGAAATGCATCTTGTCCTGGAGGCAAGAGGCCGCTCAGCTCCCATGGGGTGTCTTCCCCAGGATGCCCCCTCCCTCCTGGACAACCCCCTACTCTGTTGCTCTTCCTTCCGCCTGACAGCTGCTGGGAGCAGGGTATGTGACATACACAGGAAACGGCCTTGACAGGCCTAGTGTGAGCCGCTGAGTGCATGGCCGCCTGGCAGAATCAGGAAGCCTGTCCCTCTGTAATGTTTCTCTGAAGCCTCAGGGAGCACTACAGATGGGCCCAGCTCATGCCATCAGCATTCCTCTGTGCCGGGCAGATGCGGCGTACTTACTGTTGCGTGTTTGTGAGTCAGATTCCTGCAGGGATGGCCCAGCTTGTACCCACATGGTGACAAACACAGGTGCATCTTGTTATAACTGGAATGGAAACAAGGGACAGTCTGGAGGAGGGAGTGGGCCAAGCAATTCCTTCTTTCTCTTGAGTCTGCTGTAACTTAGCATTGCAGGGGGCAGTTATTCCCAGAGCCCCATTTGGCCAAGCATGCCTCTCGGGGCTCTCTGCAGAAGACGATGACCCTTCCTGCTCCTAGCAAAGGGTGTCCAGAGCCCTGCACCCCACTGGTGACTCTCCTGGCTGTAAGCAGGCTCTGCACATCTTCCATTGCTCTGGGCAGTAGATTAAGTTAGCGTTTTAAAGACTAGGTGATTTCTTTCATTCAAGCTTTGACCACAGATACTGATGTTGTAATCATGGCCTTACAGAGACTTACTCTCCCATCAGGGTGCTGATGGATGTCAGGTCTGACAGCGCTGAGGACTGATCCACTGATGGTGCCTCAGGTACGGCATGGGCAACCGTGTCTTGGTTTCTACCTGCGCTTAAAGCTCCTCTGTTCCTTTGCAGCCCATCTTTGCCTGCCCTTGACTGGCAACTGCCATCCCACTCTGGTCCCTATGAGCTTCGGATCGAGGTGCAGCCCAAGTCTCACCACAGGGCTCACTACGAGACAGAAGGCAGCCGGGGGGCTGTGAAAGCATCAGCTGGAGGACACCCCGTTGTGCAGGTATGGTGTCTGCTGCGACCCTGCCAAGCTCATGTCTTGGCACTTCTCAGCCTAAAAGTTTCGGAGCCACAGCTAGGGACTTTCCTTAGACTTTAAACACCTCACTGACCACACACCCTCCCACAGGCACCGTGAGGCCGAAGGTTAGCTACTCCTCTCCTCACAGAGGGGCTGGCTGAGCAAAATTCAAAAGTCAGAGTGCAGTTTTTCTGAGTGGGTATCACTTTCACACTAACATAAGGTTAGAAGAAAGATGGTAGGTGGGAGCATTGTGAGTCAGGGGCTGGCTGTGGGTACCATACAGTGCTTTGCATTACATCATCTCTAATGGTTTAAAGGTTTGCCCCAAACAGACCTACCCGCACACCTGGCTCTGTCTCACCAACTGTTCTGCAGCTCTGTTCTCCCTCCACAATCTCTGCCCCTGGAGTAGACACATACCTTCCACCCACACCACACACGTAGGACTGGAGGAAGAGCGGGGTCTCAGGCCTGCAGGGCAGTCTATGCTTGTCAGCCTGCCTGGAGGCGCTACGGGTAGGGTCTGAGGGGGCAGGTTGTGAGCTGGAGTTCTGAGGGGAAGGTGGCTGAGATGGGCACAGTCACACCTGTGGCACTTTGGGGAAGAAAAAAATACTTGGCGTAGAAACAGTGTTCACTAGCGGCAGCCAGAAGGCACTTTGGAAAGTAGGAGGCCCGACAGCAACATCACAGATTCCCCTCCTTTCTCCACCTGGACGTCACTGTGGCTTCCTGAAGGGCTGTGTGAGTTTGTCACTGCTCCCTGGTGTCACACCTGTCACCCGTGAGCTTTAGACCCCCGGACATTACTGTTTCTAGTGCCACAGAGAAGTGCTTGTTCTCTGCCTGGCTCTGGGTCACATGGTGTTAGGGAGCGCTCTTTACCCAGTATCCCGACATCATGAACCTGGGTGCCCACCCCTGTTATTTCAGGACTGATGCAAACTGGAAGGGGTACTCAGCAGGGCACCCTGTACTTTTATTTTATTCCACTTAGGTAAATAAAAAGCTGGCAAAGGCAGGAGGCCATGGAGACAAATGGCTGTTTGCCAACGCAGCAATCAGCCACATGGAATGAGCCAGGCGAGGTGCAGAGATGCAGCGCTTTAGCCGCGCTTGTGGGTGATATTACGGTGATATTTGTGGCCTGTGTGCTTGATGCCAATTAATACCCACTTTGTTAGCTGCTGGATGTGATAAAAGGCAGGCGACATCGGCACACACACAGCAGCCAGCTTGACATTTTAAGTTTCTACCTTCCCAGGTGGAAGAGGTCAGGTAGAGCCTGCCTTCAGCTGCGCTGGGTAACTACAGGTATTTACCTCTCCTTTCCTGCTGTGGCTTTCATGGGATGAAAGTGCATTATTGTTGAATGGAATGGATTTTAATAAGAGAGGAAATAAGTCTGTTAAGGAAAGGCAGGAAAAGTAAGTGGCGAGATAATGGCCAAGCGCCTCCGCTTACTTGGATCATATAGGCGAGAGGCACAGGGCGAGAGTTGAGGGGGGAGATGGGGGGAGTGCTGGGCGTGTGGGGGTGCAAACACTGTGCCTTCATCAGGAAGATGAAGCAGATGCGAGTCTCTGCTGGCTTGGGTCTGGTTTCTGTTGGTTGTGAGAACCTCAGCTGCTTCTGAGATAAAGCCATGAGGAGTGTGAGGAGCCTTGTGTTTGGGGGAATTTGTGTCTGTCAGCCACTGATACCCGTCGCCGTGTGTGTCAGCTGCGGAGTTGACATGCTGCCCCTGGAGAACCAGGCTTCGGGCGCTGTGAGCACAGAGCAACATTGATCTATCAGGGAAGACAATATCCAGGAAATTGAGGCATTTCTGAGGAATGGTGAAATTTAAAACAGTGTTTAAGAAGCACCTTCTAAATTATTTAAAGTGGTGTTAAGGGAAGGTGGCAAAACCAGGTCAGGCTGGTGCTGCTGCCACAGAATAGCCACCCCCCCACCCCCGAACAGTATTGAAAGGCAAAGAAAAACAATCCCTAGCCAAAAATGCAAGGTTTTATTGTACGACTCATTGTGAGAAATTAGGAATCCAAGGAGTTTTCTGTAGTATTCTCACAAAGTGAGCTCACACCTATGCCAGTGTGAGGTAAACAGCTAAAAAGAGGGCATTTTAGGGGATTTGTTTTCTTTTTTGGTTGGCGGACCACAAATTGGATAAAAATAGAATTTGCACGTAATTATGAAACACACAAAAATAGAAGATTCTCTTGGTTGCCACGAAGGCTGTGTAACCACAGAGTTCTACCCCAAGCTCTGGGTTATTTTGACACACCCTTCAGCACCAGCAGCTCTGGTGTCTAATCGTCTTGCTCGTGGAGGTGGATACATCACACAGCCGTCTGGGTGAGGGTATGGACCACTCCACATGCCCGGTGTGCAGACACTCCACGAACCATTTTGTGGCCAGTAGTCTCGGTTGTATTCATAACTGCTCAGGGCTTCCGTCTCACACAGAACTTAGAAAGCTCTCTTTCATTCAGCACTCTGTCTGAAGTAGATCCACCATCATATTTCCCTCTGCGTTTTTAGAAGTTTCTTTGTAAATACAGCAGCAATCTGTAGAATGGAAAACCCCAGTAATGCCCAGAGTACAATGGTAAAAGGGAGGAGGCTGTGCCCCTTGGACTTGGGGTCCAGAAGGAGGCTTCTGGACAATGACCCTCTTCCTTGTATGTGGTGTTGGGACAAGGACCAAACTTGGACACACGGGTAGAACCAAAGGCCATACATTTCAGACAAGGACAGGGCACCTGTGCCTGGCCCAGCTTTGCTCTCAGTGGAGAGGCCAGTATCTGTGAAGGACCTGACTAAGCCATTTCTCTGTCCGGGCTCTTAGCACTCTCCCTCTGCCAGAGACTCTCCTTTGGATTGGCGTTCTCAGGGTTCATTATTTTCCACCAGGATGATGCCTCTTTTTCTTCCATAGATGTCTTTTTCATGCTAGGGACCAGCCACTCAAAATAGCCACAGGCTCCCACTAGCCGTTTCATAATGACCAAGCTACCCAGTCTTCAAGAATTCTTTATAATGAATGATGACCTTAGAATATGCCATCAACTGAAAAACATTTTACCAAATCAGAATGAGCAATTTTGGATTATTCTGGACTCAATGAAGGACTGGTACGGGCTTACCTATAGGCTATAGGACCAGTTTAAGAGCCACCTTGCAGCCCCTAGATGCACATGGTCTGTGAAAGTCTGTGGGGACATCCTTGGTGACACGGTTGCTCCCCTTGCCTACTTTGTCCACTGTCTTCTGTCAGTTACAGAGACAGGGGCCCCTACATCTCTCTAAAGTGTGCTGTGGTCTTGCTTCCAATGTCATACTGAAACCAGTGAGAAAGGGGCAAGGTTTCCCTTGACCATGGTACTTGCCTTGGTAGACCAGATGTCACAAATATTTTGTCTAAAGCAGGGGCAGCTGGTCAGGGCCTCTCTAGCTCCGCACAGCAAGACTGTATTGAGCATCATCCTTGTCCAACCCCCCTCCCCCCCGACCTTGATCTGGCCTCTGGCTATCAGTTCTCCATGTCTGCTGGGTCTTAGCCATGGCTAGCTAAGGATCCAAATTCTCCAGAAGCTAGGCAGGGAGGTCTAGGTTGTCCTAGAGTGGATTGTGGACTTGTGGACTCCTTCTTTTAGGGGCCCCCACTGCAGCATGTGTGGTGTTTTGTGGTCTGAGGATTGTCTCCCACCTGGGGAGGGGGGTCACAGAATCCAGCTCTGTTTACCAATCACCAAAATGACTTGCCTGATAGCATCTTTGCATCACACACAGGCCTGCTCTGCTTGAATAATTAATAGTCTGCTGAAATATGAACACTCAGAAGCTGGTCAGTTCCCAACATTAAGGTTCGCAGTGCAGCACTTGGCATTTAGGACAGTGACCAGCATAGCCCCTGTCTGGCTGTGAAGGACTCAGACCAAAGAGACACGAGCAATGGCCCAGACAGGGGACCTTGGACTGCTCGTGAATATAAGTGGTATACTCTCAGGGCACAGACAGCAGTTGATTGAGGGTATTATGGAACCAGGGCAGAGTCATCGGGGATGCCATGACAAGCCCTGGCTCGTGCTCCAGCACAGGGGTCTGGGCAGAGGCCAGTGGCGTTTCATGGCCTTAAGGACCCTTTGGAGGTCACTTAGCTTGTCCCTCTCCCATATGGTTTCATGGCAGGTGCTTTTGCTATCATTCAAGACATTAGACAGCTGCGGGGTCCACTGGGAGGTGACTTGCATTTCTCAGGTTGTTAAAATTGTCTTCTAGCCAGTTATAATTTATATATATAATTTATATATTTATATAATTTATTTATATATATAATTTATAATTTATTTTATCTTGTTATAATTTCTTTTCTTTCTTGGTGGTGTCTTTCCCCCAAGTCCCAGGGGGGAGATTTTAGAGTGTCAAAAACATTGTGAGGAACGGGTTCCTGAGGTGTTTCTGACCTGTGGCCAGAAGGTACCTCGTCATTTGGCTCAGTGGCCTGGAATGCTGTGTCGTGTGTCAGCCTACTTCCTCCATTCTCCCAGGTGTCTTCTTTGGAATATACACCATTGGAGGCTCGCAGAGAGCCAATGTCCTTCAAGGGCCAGTGAGGGGGTTTTGCTAGGTGTTCTGGTAAGAGCACCAGGTCCCCAGAGGGCCAATGAAACACAGCACCTCACTCTGCCTGGGGCTGCAAGCTGTTAAAACATGCACATAGCAGAGGTTAACCCGCAGCCCTGACCCCAAAGCAGAACCATGCTGGCCCTAGTCTTCTCAGAGCCAGCCAACCTGCGTGAGGTCTAGATTAATTTTTTATGGATCAGGCTGGACACTGCATGGAGTCCTCTCTCCTTTCAGGACATTCCAAGGCAAATGCTCTCCTGTCCCTTCCCATCATGCACAGGGTGACTTGCCTGCTCACCTGAATGCTTCCTCTCCCTTCTGCATGTGCAGTCAGCACTCATGTCCAC